TTAAACACAGGATTACCGTACGATCCAGAAGTTCTGCTGCTGGGTATGTACAGAGAAATGAACACAGGTCTCTAAACAAAGAACATGAAGATTCACAGCACAGCTATTCACAACAGCCAGTAAGCGGTACAAACAACCACATGTCCATCAGCTGAAGATCAGGAAAGCAAGATGCGGTTTATCCACACAATGGAATCTTATCAGGCCATAAAAAGGAGTTAAGTACTAATACGTGCCACACACGTGGAGGAACTGTGAAAATGTTATGCTGAGTGAAAGAATCCAGTCGCCAAAGGCTGCATTTTCTAGGATTCCTTTTACACGAAACATCCAGAATAGGCAAGTCCATTAAGACCAAGCAAATCAGTGGTTGCCAGGGGTTGGCGGAAGGCAGAGTAGGGAACGGCCACTAAGGGGATGTGTGGTTTCCTTCTGGGGTGACAGAAATGCCTTCAAACTAGATAAAGGTCACGGCTGCCCAACACTGCAAGGGTCCTACCCACGTGCTGCTTCATTGTATACTTCAAAACGGTTAACAGTTAACAGTTAATTTTATGACAGGTGGATTTTTACCTTAATAGCAAAACGAATTCCTAGGAAGATCAAAGAAGAAAAATTCAAGCCCCAATTTTCAAATGAGATCCAACACACATAAAATCGCCGTGTCCAACTGTTAAGAGTTTTTCTTTTCTTTTAGTTTCCTTACTTACCTCCTCTGGGACCAGTCATGGAGCCCCCGCAGGCCCCCACCCTGGGGCCCGCCGCCTGGATCCCATCGGAGTCTGGCTTATTCAGCACAGACTGCATACTGCAGCAGCAAACTTTCCCTCCTGTCAGCACGCAAAACTGCGGTGTCTTCCCTGCAGCTGCTGCCCCATTGCACGACCCCCCTGACCGAAGTCCCTGAATAACTGTCTGTGCCTGGGCCCCCATCTTCTCTCCCATGCACTCCTGAATGTAGTCAGTCTTTCGCTCCTGCCTCCCCACCCAACTGGCCACCTGACCAGTCAGATCCTCTATCGTTTCTACCTTTACAACAGCCAATGTCAATTCTAGTCCTCACCTCATTTGACCCTTGAGCTTAGTTGGCTCTGTTCATGGAAATGTTTTCTCTGCTTGTTTCCAAGACAGTATGCCCAGTTAGATGTCCTCCTGCCCCCCAGGCGACTCATCACTTTCTCCTTTGCTGGTCTGCCTCATTTGGAACACTCCTCCAGACCCTGCAGGGCCCTGGGGCTCAGCCTTGGGTCCTTCCTTCCGCTCCATCTATACTCATTTCTCTAGCAGCTCTCACCAGATTGTTTTCAAGTTACATCTACACCCTGGACTCGTGAGCTTTTATTTCCAGCAAGGATATCGCCTCTCAACTTGAGCCTTCATACAGCTAATTCCTACTCGACAATCTGCCTCGATGACTCATGAAACATCTCAAATTTCATGCTCAAAATTAAACTCCTAATTCCCACAAACCTGCTTTTCCCCCATGGTCTTTCTTTACCTCAATAAACAGAAATTCCAATTTTCTACCTGGTCAGGTCAAAAGTTACACAGTCATCCTTTGCTTCTCCTTCTCTGGTGCATCCCAAACAAATCCATCAACAGATCATGTTGGTTCTATCTTAAAACAGACTAGAATTAGGGACGCTTGGGGGGCTCAGTGGTTGAGAATCTGCCTTCAGCTCAGGCAATGATCCCAGGGTCTTGAGATCGAGTCCTGCATCCGGCTCCCCACAGGGAGCCTGCTTCTCCCTCTATGTCTGTGTCTCTCATGAATACATAAATAAAATCTTAAAAAAAAATCTAGAATTAAACTGCTTGTTATCACCGCCACACTCCTACCCTGGCTAGGTCACTGCCACCGTTTGCAATGATTACTGCAATGCCTCTTGCTGGACTCCCTGCTCCCAGCCTGTATTCCCACAGTCTGTTTTTAAATAGCAGCCAGAGTGATCTTCCAAAACCACAAGACAGACACGTCTCCCATGTTGCCCCTTTGCCAGAAACCCTGCAAAGGCTTCCATCTCACTGGACATAAAAGCCAAAGTGCTTGCAGTGGCTTACAAAGTCCATACATAGCCAGGCCTCACCCTCTCTCTGATCCACCTCCTCACACTTTTCAGGATATGGAAGGGGGGAGGAAATGCCTCCTAGCCCTTTTACCAAGAAAAAAATCAGAGAGTGGCAACACAGCAAAAGGAAAACTTTCCCTGCAATCTCCCGCCACATTCTCTTTGCATGCTACAATCTTCAGCAAAAACAGTGGAAAACTTTGAACTGGGACTCCTTTCTCTAAATGGTAAAGAGAGGTTAAACTTCTCTTTAAAGAAACTGAGGAAAAACTGATTTAACAGACAAACATTGGGATGCCTGGGCAGCTCAGTGGTTGAGCATCTACCTTGGGCTCAGATAGTGATCCTGGGGTCCTGGGATCGAGTCCCGCATCAGGCTTCCTGAAGGGAGCCTGCTTCTCCCTCTCCATGTGTTGTGTCTCTGCCTCTCTCTCTCTCATGAATAAGTAAATAAAATCTTTAAAAAAATAATGGACAAAGATATAATTTAAAGAAACATTAAATCTACTGAAAAACAGTGTTTTTCAAGTTATTTACAAGTCCCCACTTAGATCTTCCAATCAGAACTTATTCATTAATCGCTTCTTGGACTTTTGGCTAAGATCAAATGCAGAACTTACTCATTAACATAACCAGCCAGAAGATCTCATTCCTGATGAAAGTGATAAATGCAACTGGTTGCTGGCCAGCCTTTGCCACCTTGTCACAAATGAAGGCACTGCTGTCCCTACCCGCACCCACCACACCCTACCAGGAGCCCCGGCCCCACGCAGCAGAAGGACCTAGACTACACAAGTGTCTGCTCGTGTCAATGCTGATGATAAAACTGAGAATCTGATGCTCAGACAACACCTGGGTGTCTCTGTTGACCTTCAAATACAATTCCCACATCCTACTTCCCGCTTACTCTGTAAACATCCCATGCAGCTTAGAAGCCCCAAATACCATGCATTTGGAAGTCATAAAGCCACATTTCCTTAAAAAATTAGCTGAGATTGGGATTTTCTATGAGTGCATATTCTCCTTCTCTGTGGCAAATCTAAAGTAGGTAATACAGAGTTTCATGGCTCTTCCTACCAAACTGCCTCATGTCTGAAGCTTGACTCTCCTCGTCAGTTAGCAGTGAGGGAGAACGGTAAGCCTGAGGCCTCCTCACACTTGCAAACACACATAGGACCAGCGAAGGTACAAGAAATCCTCACTGGTATTCACCCCACCTTTCCCGATGAGCTCTGGTGCAGCCAGTCCCTTCCGTCCTGGACTGTAACCTCTTTCCTTCTGAGCATTTTTTCTCTCTTCTGCCATAAATTCAAATGCCTCCTGCTCCTCTTCATATCTATCCCTCTCTGCTCTAATAAATTTCCTCTTATCTTTTTAGCTTACTGCCCTGTTCTGAATTTACACCTTTCTCTCAAGAAAGCGAGTGCTTCTGGAAATATGCCATTATTCCTGGAGCAAGAAGCTCAGGCTATCTCTTCCTCAAAGTAGGTTTCGCTCCCCATTTTCTGTATGAACAAATGTCTCCTCAACTGCTTCATCACTAAATTCTGCACTGAAGCCAACAGACAGTGACTTAGGATCCCGACACTATAGGCTGGTGTTTCTTTACAGAGTAGCAAGCTCACTTAAAAAATATACCTCATTCATTCATTCATTCATTCATACGCTCAACCAATAAATAAAAATAAAAGGCATCGTAGCAGGTCAAAAGGTATATAAGATGTGTTCTCTGTCCTTAAAGAGATTAAAATCCAGATAAATACATGTAATCAAAGACAGTATGAAAGAAAGACCATATGGGCATACACTCTACAGTATGAGTATTTATAACAGAGATGTGCCTGCTTGTCCACTCCTGACAAAGAATCGTCATTAATAAAAGTCAAAGTGCAATCCATAATGTGTACTTCAGTGCCTCGATAGTTCAAACTGATCGGTTCCCTTGTCTTCTCTCTTCTGCATTAATGAAATCCTGTACTTTATTTCAGTATGGCAAATAAACTCTAACTTGTTCAGCACTTTTAGACTTCCTTGTTCTGAATTCGTAAAGCAAAGCGTGGTTCTGAATCTCGTTCTCTAAACACTTGCTTTACAAAAAGCAAGCTCTCTGTAGAGAGTAAAATTATTTAGAGAACAAACCTCTCTTTTTCTTTAGTGGAGGATACAGTCCGATAGTTGGTTTACTACCAAGTCACACACTGTAGCCCTGATTTCTGCCGACTGCTTTGACTGTATATGCTTCTCACTTCCCTAGATCAAAAGATAAAAGTTTAATTATAAAGAACTTAAAAACATGGCATGGAAACACAGCAGCCATAAAAGACTTGCCCATCATCGCAGCGTATATAAATGCTGGAGAGAAGGTTAAAATTAAAGTTGAGGAACTGTGTATTTCAAAGTGCTTTGGTTCATTAAACAGTCATTTTTTATTTTAAAGCCATTATATCAGAGTTATTTGCATTGCTACTGCACAAACTCTGAGATCTATTGTATTCAAAAATGTTTTATTATTTTGTTTCCTCCCCCAAAAGATGAATATGCCTTCAATTTTAAGATGGAAAAGTTTCAGAAGACAAGTTTTCAATACACAGAAATTCATTTCACCAAAAATAACAGGATTTGAGCCACATTTTCCTTTGAATCTGTATTTCTTATTGATCATCCTGAAAATACAGTGTGTGGCTTCTGATGGGAGTCCCTCATTTTATTTTTGTCACTCCAGGTACCCAGAAAAAGAAATCATGATATTAAGAATTGAGAAAAGCAAAGCATTCCATAATGAAATACTGTAAAGAATACTCACAAGGGAGTCACGCAGCAATCTCCCAAGAGCTCCTGACCTGCAAGGCCTCAGAGAGATCCTGGGAGACCCAGTGGCTGGCTACTCATCCTCCCTCCACCCCAACCCAGGCTGTGCACCTGGACACCTACCACTGGCTTTGGCTTCAGAGTAAGAGGGGCCATCCTCGAAAGTGAAGATTTGGGACACACTCTGGCCCAGGTAGGAGGGAGGTGGGTAGTACGAATGCATCCGGTACTGGGAACTCACTGCATGGCGGTTCTCTGAGTTTTTCATCTGCTTGAGAAAAAAAACAAAAAACAGAAGGAATACACTGAGTTCAAAACTGCACTGTACAATGATTACAAGAACTGCTGGGTTCCTATTGATGTTGGAAGTATCTGTAACCATGAATGTGCACACATTCTCCAGCACAATGACCCTAGAAATGCTAACTGTGCATCCTAAAGGTGCCTTTTATACCTTGGGGTCCCTACTAGAGCCCCCCTGATGCCTGATTTGGTCACATGATACTTAGTTAACAAGCACCAAGGAAAAGAGAGCAATAGAGTGCAGATGGCACAGCCTAGGAGCCCACACATCACCGTAACACTGTCTACAGTTATACAGCCATAAGCAAGTTATTTACTTTCTCACTCATGTGTGAAGCAGGTGGCTCACCTTGGTTACCTCAGTGTTCATATAAAGAGAATATTTTTTAAAAGACAACACGCAAAACACATGTAAGGGTAAGCTGTTGTCATTAGTGCATGGACGTGCCCGATACGGTCCTCGACGTCTATTCCCACCCCCCTTCCCTGCTCTCACTGTAGCAAAGAAACCCAGTCTGAGATCTTGACTTCCCAGACCCTCCTGTCACCAGGGTCCTGGAGGTGACATGGACTCTGCAAACAGGACATGCAGGGAGGCATAGAAGGTAGACTTAGCAGTCGTGTGTCAGACTCTGCCTCTGGGACAACAGGGCAGCTTTTATGCAAAGAGCAGCGAGGCCCCACTGCTTCCTGACCTGTCATTCAAAGCTAAGGCAATGTGACCTGAACACTTAGAAGGGCACCCACCCACACTTCCACAAATATGTCAAATATGTTCTGTTTCCTGCATGGCCCCTGGAGCAGACACTGGGCATTGCAAGAACAGTCAGACATCAATTATGCTGCATTTAAAAAAGTAGTACCATCTAAATTTAATGTACTTAAAATGTCACTTTAAGGGAATGTTCGAGAAGAATCAGGTCTGTCCAAGAATTATTTTTTTAAAGATTTATTTATTTATTTGTGATAGACAGAGAGAGAGAGAGAGAGAGAGAGAGAGAGAGAGAGAGAGAGAGGCAGAGACACAGGAGGAGGGAGAAGCAGGCTCCATGCCGGGAGCCCGACGTGGGACTCGATCCCAGGACTCCAGGATCGCGCCCTGGGCCAAAGCGCTAAACCAGAGCCACCCAGGGATCCCCTGTCCAAGAATTAAAGAGTACTTTTAAAATCATGTTTTTTGGGACACCTGGGTGGCTCAGCAGTTCAGTGTCTGCCTTCGGCTCAGGGCGTGATCTCAGGTCCGGGGATCAAGTCTCACATCAGGCTTCCTGCAAGGAGCCTGCTTCTCTCTCTGCCTATGTCTCTGCCTCTCTCTCGCGTGAATGACTAAGTAAATCTTAAAAAAAAAAAAAAAAAAAAAAGTCATGTTTTTCAATCAAATAATGCTACTTTAGAAAATCGTACTAACGTGGCAGAGGCTGGCAGGGTAAACTCATGTACTGGGCTTCCTCAAGATTATCTCTGAACATTAAATTTTGGACACTTTTCTAATCACGGCCGGCCTGTGTGTACTCTGAATATCTGGCATTGCTTGGTGGAAAGACCTGAGCCCCTGACTTCTGTGTGGAAGCTCAAGACACTCATTTTGGATGCTCCAAGTGCTCCACAGCACAAATGAATGCTCTGGGGGCCCCTGGGTGGCTCAGTGGTTGAGCATCTGCCTTTGGCTCAGGGCGTGATCCTGAGGTCCTGGGATCGAGTCCCACATTGGGCTCCCCACAGGGAGCCTGCTTCTCCCTCTGCCTGTGTCTCTGCCTCTCTTCTCTGTGTCTCTCATGAATAAATAAAATCTTAAAAAACAAATGAATGCTGTGATGGGTGGATTACTTCTTGGAGAGGCAAAGAAGACTATTCCAGTTGATTATTTTCTCTCACTTGAAGTTTATCTGGCAAGTTCCCTTTATCCTGCCTACTTTGTTTCTCTGAAGCATCTGAAATGGTATCTCTTCTAGCTCAATCACACAATTTATCTACCATCACATAAATCCTTACAAAATAAGAGGTCGAACAAGCTGTACTTGGAAATAGCCAAAGGGGAAACACTGGCTGCCTCTTAATGAGTGAGCTCAGGGCAGGAGAGCCATTAAGGGGCCGTGAAATCATTTAAGAGGGCAGTGACAATCTGTGGTCACTTAACTACACAGAGCCTTGTGATCAGTTAGACCAGGACATTGCAAGGCTCTCTTCATGTGTATGCAAATGGCCTGGGGCTAAGCAGATTCCGATTCAGTAAGTCTTCAGTGGGGCCTCAGTCTGGTACACTCACTCGCCGGAGATGCTGATTCTGCTGGTTCAAAACCCTCATGCTGGTGACAAGGGACAAGAGTAAATGATCCTTCCTCTAACTACTTCACACCTTGAAGGTCCATGACCAAAAAAAGGACTTTCTAAAAAAACTCTGTTAACCCATTTTTTATGACCGCCAATTTTCCACCTACCTGAGGGAAGGATGGAGATGATATGAGTAGCATTATAATTTTTCACCATTTTTGTTTTTATACATGAGATTCCTCAGAGCTAAAGGCGTTTTCTCAGGGCTTTGCCGCCATCTAGAATTTCAGGAGTGGTAATAACCAAACTCCACCTCTTTTCAAATCAAAGAGCCATTTCTGCCCTTCAGACTCCCCTCAAGTCAATTACACAGTCAGGTAATGCACTCTGAGCGAGAAGCCAGGTGTCCCCTTTAACGCACGAAGTCCCACGACACAAATGACAGGGCCTCCCCACTACCCACTCTAAGTGCTGAGCTGGTTTCATCTCCTTCTGATTTGACATCTGCAAGTCAGTTCTTCAAGAAAAATGCTTTTCAATGTTCCCACTGTACAAGAAACTGATAGGATTAGAGCCTGGCAAGCTCTGCAAAATGCTAGTTTTTTTTTTTTCTTTTACTCTGAATTTGTATAAAGCCTCTTTTTAAATGTTGAAAAATGTTCACTGTGAGTCTAGAGCAAGATCAGCAAACTTTTTTGGCAAGTGGCCCAAGAGGAGATTTTAGGCTTTGCAACCCACAGGGTCTCTAGATAATCGGGAAATGAATGGGCATGGCTGTGTTCCAATAAAACTTTATTTATAAAAAAGGTACACAGCCTTCATTCCCACTGGAGGACGGGGCGGAGACCAGACCACGTAGCCTGTGGCTTCACCACTAGAGTGTCTGATTTCAGTGCTCTGGGAGGTGGCCTGGCCCAGGGCTGCTTCAAAGTCCCCCAGGTAATTCTAAAGTGATGTCAAGATTGAGAACCAGTGTCCCAGATGTACTGAAAATTTCCCATACCCGAAATAAGCATGAAGCCACAACATCCCCAGTATTAACTAAAAAATTCAAAAGGTTAATAAGTCTAACAGGCTGGTCAAAGGCTGCCAATCTCAAGTTGTATGGTATTTGAAAAGAGATTCAAACAAACTGCAGAGTTTCTATTTTAACGAAAGCTTACCAAAAAATTAACACAATTTCAAACCCATGCATGTTAATTTTTCCCTTTAATTTCTCTTAGGTTTCTAAAATGCATCAGATAGCATGGATTATTTGGAAATAAGAATTGAGAGATTGGGGCAACTGGGTGAGAGTTTGCCCTTCCAACATTTTGTAAAACTAAAAGCATCTTGGGGCACCTGGGTGACTCAGTGGTTGAGCATCTGCCTTTGGCTCAGGTCATGATCCGGGGTCCTGGGATCGAGTCCTACAACTGGACTCCCTGCAGGGAGCCTGTTTCTCCCTGTGCCTAAGTCTCTGCCTCTCTCTGTATCCCTCATGAATAAATAAAATCTTCATTTAAAAAAAAAGGGCTTCAAGGAAAAGAAGAAGGTAAAAAGGGTCAGACTCCATTTGAGGTTATTAAAATATGAATTTACAGAAGCCATTTATCATGTCAGCCACATCCAACTTGAAGAATAACCTACAAATAACCATTCATGTGTTCACCTGCAAGTAAGGATGGTTCTATGTATAGATGACTTCTGAACAACACAAGTTAGGGGCGTCAACCTCTCTAGGCAGTTGGAAATCCAAACATAACTTCTGACTCTCCTAAGATAAAACTACTAAATAACCTACTGTCGACCAGAAGTGTCACTGATAACATAAGTAGTAAATTAACACATATAAACAGGTTTCTTAGAATGAAGGAAGCTGGGGCGAGGGGGAAGAGCTATTAAAACGTAAGGAAAGGAAGGCACATTTACAGGACTGTACTGTGTTTTTTTTTTTTTTTATGATAGTCACACAGAGAGAGAGAGAGAGAGAGAGAGAGAGGCAGAGACATAGGCAGAGGGAGAAGCAGGCTCCATGCACCGGGAGCCTGATGTGGGATTTGATCCCGGGTCTCCAGGATCGCGCCCTGGGCCAAAGGCAGGCGCCAAACCGCTGCACCACCCAGGGATCCCTGTACTGTATTTATCAGAAAAAATTTCACACAGAAGTAGACTCCTGCAGTTCAAACCCATGCTGTCCAAGGGTTGACTTGAGTATTTCTTTTTTTTTTTTAAGATTTTATTTATTTATTCATGAGACACACAGAGAGAGGCAGAGACATAGGCAGAGGGAGAAGAAGGTTTCCTGCAGGGAGCCCAATGTGGGACTCAATCCCAGGACCCCGGGATCATGCCCTGAGCCGAAGAGAGACGCTCAACCACTGAGCCACCCAGGTGCCCCCAACCCGAGTATTTCCAAATGAGTGTGTCAATCTCTGAGACATGAAGCTAAAATCAAAATTGTGATTCGTCCAGAAAAATGTGTGGCAAAATGTGACTCCAAACTCTAGATCCCTTCTAGTTCCCTTCCAACTGAAAAACAAACAAACAAACAAACAAAAACAACACCACAGTCCTGACTGCTTGTGCATAGACAACTGGGCACAAGCCTTACTTTGATCCAGTAGTACTCAACTGGGGGCCATCTGTCCCCCATGGGACATGTGGTGACCTCGGCAGACACTCATGACGGCCTCAGCTGGCAGCCAGGAGGAG